ATAATTCTGCCGGACTTCTGTCCGCAACCCTCCAGGGATAGGGAAAGATCGTGGCACAAGTTAGATGTCAGGAGAGCCTTGCGCATTTACCTTAAGCGCACGGCTCCCTTTAGGTGCTCAGAAGCCCTCTTCGTGTCATATCAACCTTCCACCAGAGGCGCTAAGGTTTCCCCAGCCACCATCAGCAGGTGGATAAGGACGGCCATTTCACAGGCCTACCAGGCACGGGGTATTCAGGTCCCAGAGGGCATCACAGCGCATTCCACCAGGAGTGCGGCCACCTCAGCAGCCTGGGCCACCCAGGCCCCCATAGAAGAGATCTACCGGGCCATCGCCTGGGCGTCTCCTTCCCCATTCATTAGACATTACCGTCTAGATGCCTCCGCCTCCGCGGAGGCAGCCTTTGTCAGGAGGATGCTGCAGGGAGTCCTAGACTCTTAAGGGTCTCAGGCCCAATAATCCCTCCCTAGGACATCTAGCTCTGGTATGTCCCATTGGTTACTCCTCCCACACCTCACTCTGGAAACTGGCAGTTGGTCTTACCTGAACTGCATGTTTAAGAGTAGGTGTGGGAGGAGTCACTCCCCCCCCTTGTTTAGGGCGCCCCGCGCCAGGGCCTGAGTTAGCTCCATGGTCATTCAGGGTCAATAAGAAGGATAGGTGCTTGCACTGTTCTGTGTTCTTTCCTTCCAGGACTCTGCTACGACTATCGGTTAATCTGGGAGAGCAAGAGGAGGATCAGAGGCCTGGCTTCAAAAGATTATCCTCAGACTCCAAGGGCAAGAAGGCTGGGTTAATACCCATTGGTTACTCTTCCCACACCTACTCTTAAACATGCAGTTCAGGTAAGACCAACTGCCAATATCAGCTTTCTATCATGATTGCCAAGGTCAGTGTTGATTGGGAATTTTTAATGCATAAAAATTTAAAATTATTAACTAACACTCCTCAAAAATAACATAATGGCCCACATACATTCCTGCTAGGTTATGCACTATGTCACAACTCATGAAGTTGCTACTCACTCAAGACAAGATTGAAATTTAAACAACAAACCTTTTAACACAATTTATGTAAGAACCTTTCTGAAATGGAAGGCTGTAATGCTGAGAAAAATTTTCATTAGATAAAGCAGCAAAATATGTAGTTGCATTAATCCATAGAACATCACAAATCCAAGCCAGTTGTCATAAAACCATTTTCAATTAAAACACTGATCTTACACTTATGTTTTCTTTCTCGTTCTGCTCATCTCCACTCTCAGATTCCTTTAACTGCTGTTGGATAGAGCCGTTCAAACAATTCCGAATGGCAATTATGAGCTTAGCTGGAATTAAAGAACAAAGTATCTCAGTTATGAAAAATGGCAAGTGTCAGTGTGGACAGTAAATATACTGGCCCAAATATTGCTTCATTAAAAAAAGTAGCATAGTATATGCACACTTCAGCAAAATAAATACAAGTAATTTAATAAATGCATGCAGCTGTTTAGATTAATATTTCATCAACCATTTTTCACATTAGGGAATCCAATAGATTTGTAAATGGCTTTCAGCATGTTCACATTTATATAACTTAAAACCACATCAAAATAAATTATTTAAAGTAGGACTGTAGTTAACACTCAATGACTAATAGGTTGAGGAAAAATTAAGTACTATTTTCATTTTAAAATAAACCTGTCCAGTTATTAGCATCTTTTATGCATGCATCACAATCAAGTTATGCTTCTTCTTTCTTCCTCTCATTCAGTTTAGCCCAAATTCTTCAGAAACAATTACCGTATTTTCCAGAGTACAAGACGCACCTTAGTTTTGGGGGAGGAAAAGAGCAGTGGGGAGGAAAACTGCCTACCAGGTATTCATCTGGCCTTTGTCCTTTGTCTGGTCAGCTTCAGCATATAGGTTTGCTGGTTTTGAGCGTGCGCGCACGCAAACATTTTTTATCCCCTAGTTAGGGATAAAAAACAGCATCTAAAGCACAGCGGATCGTCGGCGAAAGAAGCAATGAGAAAAGCAGGCAAAGCACGTAAGATTGCTTCACTTGCTAGAGCCTCATTAGGGCTGAAAAACAGCTTTAAAAGCACAGCTGATCGTCAGAGGGAGCAGCAATGAGAAAAGCAGGCAAAGCATAAAAGATTGCTTCACTCATTAGGGCTGAAAAAGCTTCAAAAGCTATATTCTGCGTATAAGACGCACCCACATTTTCAGCCTCTTTTGGGGGGGGGGGAGTGCATCTTATACTCTGAAACATATGATACATCCTTAGCAGTGGTGGGTTCTGGTACGGTTGGAATAGGCCCGGCAGCGTCCACATGGACGCACGCAGCGCGCATGCACATGTGTGCAGTGCACGCATGCGTCTTCGCAAGCCTGTGATGCTCCAGCTGCTCCGCGGAGACTCGTACAGGCATAGTACGCGCCATGAGCATGTGCAGAAGACTTAAACGACTGGTAAGGAGCTCGGGCGGCTGGGTAGGTCCTCTGGAGCACCATTTCGGAACGGTATCTGGTGCTCCGGTACGCCTGTACCAGGGTATACCGCCTGCAACTCACCACTAGTCCTTGGTCATTTACAAAAAAGCAATAGAGGGCTTCTTTGTGAAAGGGTGGAAGTCTTCCACATACAAGCCAGATGGAGCATGCCCATTACAGTCATAAGTCACAAAAGGGATCAGTCACTCACATGGCTAATGATTTTACGATGTTTTTGCGGCAGTTGTTAAGCAAACTGTGCAAATACCACAATCATTAAGAGAACACTATAGTTGTTGAGCAAGCCCATTGTTCTCCATGTCATGATTCTGCAGCAAAACCATAGTAACATGCGGTCACGTGACTGCACGGTGCTGCAAAGGATCATAAATATGAATATGTTGCTAAGGGCCTGAAGTGTGTTCATGCAACTACAGGAGGAGGGAGAGTAAGCCGCAACTAATCATTAGGTCACCAAGTGATCAGCCACAAGTCAAGAACTACCTGTAACACATCAATTGTTCCATATCCCAGGTCAGCATCTCAAAAGTTGTATTCTACACAATTACCTATATTGGTGGGACTAGTGTATTCGTGAACGTGCTGATAGAATTTTCTAGCTGCAGGTGCATTCATTTGGATGAGTGTTACACAGCGTTCACACCACACTTCTGGTTGACTGATGGGCAGGAAAGAGTTGATCAGAAGATTTACTATCCGTCTGGACACAGGCCGTGAATCAATCTCAAGGCGAGCTAAGAGGTGCTCTACAGGACAAATTCTCCAAAACTGATTGGAGAGGACGGGAATCGGAGAGAAACAAAGTTATTGTGATTAGATTTGATAGTCGAACTACCTTCAGATGAACTTCCTGCTGAATAATTATGAGACCCTGCATTCTTACACAAGTTCATAAGTTGTCTCTTCTGCCCACAAATTTTTACAAACCTCTACATTTGCAGCCTACATTTTGCAACATCGATTTGTCTTTTACTGCTCAGGAATCAAGACAGTTTATCTGCCTTTATCTGCATTGTACCCATTGATTTCAGATTAGCCACTTGTGGACAGAACACCAGAGCAGTATTATATCAATCTCCAACATAGAGATGATACTGTATGCAGATAGTTCTCGACTTATGATAGTTAGAACCAAAACTTCAATAGCTAAGTGGGATGATAGCTATGTCTGATTTTATGACCTTTTTGGCCACAGTTGTTAAGTAAACCATGTGGTTGTTAAACAAATCCAGCTTCTTCCATTGACACTGCTTATCAGAAGCCGGCTACAAAAGTCACAAATGGCAATCACATGACCCTGGAACATTGCAACTATTGTAAATGCATGCTAAGTGTCCAAATTTTGTTCATGTGACTATGGGGATGCTGCTACCATCATGTGAGGACCAGCTGTAAGACTTTTTTTTCACTTCTATTGTAACTAAATGAACGGTTTTAAGTCAAGTACTGCCTGTAATTGGGGACTACCACATTAAATAGGAAAATGCCGTGGATTAAAATAAGAATAACTAATCATTTGTTCCTCCACAGCCAGAATTCTTTTGATATTGTCTCCATAAAGGTAGCCTATATTTAAGCAAGGGATACTTCATACTCCAAAATCAATTCATTGTTCAGAAGTACTATACAGGTGTATTAGAATAATTGCACATCTTCTAGGAGTGGAGTCTGGGCCATAGATACTTTTATGAGACAAAATATTTTACTGATCTGATCTTCACTGATCTGTTTGTTGATGTAGAGAATAAATCAACAATACCACCCTGACTTATTTTCTACCTTCTCAGGTTATTCAGTGGCATCTCAAACTCCTGCCATCCCTTCAGCAGGATGCTACTTTGCAGCTGAAAAAATAAATAAATTGAATCTCTTACAAAGAAAGAGCGCATGATTTCAAAAAATAAATCATCAGAATATAAACGAATGCTACTGTTTAGCTGTTACTTTACTACTGGACCTTCCATAAAGATAACTGCTAGTCAAACTACAGGGAAGAAAGAATATTATAAGTTCTTTCTTATTGATTAATTTAAAAAGGTAACAATGGCAAATTGTTTGGGTTGAAATGTTAATGAATTCTTTGGACTATTTTCCTTTTAAAATATTGATGAATGCACACACTTCAGAATAAATTGCCTAGTTTTTTTATGCCTTCTGTCTGCCACCTAGCAAATTAATTTATCCCACCTTTGCAGCTTTCGTGGCCTTAATTTTCAGCAACATATCGACGAAAGCCACTCTAACTTTCTCCGAATTGTCATGGAGATTGTACTTCAGTGCTGGCAGAAGCTGTTCCAGTAATGGGTGGCTCAGTACATTGTCCAAAAGTATAGGCAAGCACTAGAAGAGAAACAGAAAAATATCAATAAAAGGTTATCACAAGAAAACAGGGCTATTTGCATTGAATCTATTCTACCTGCCAAATACCTGAAGCTAAGAGGACAGAGACTGGGGAATGAAAAATAGCAAGACAATCCATTATTATTAAACATGTCATTTAAATGCAAAGTAGCATGTGGGGTGATGATACAAATTCTCTATTAATATTCCTTCAGAGAATATGCTGCTAAAACAGAACAAAGGGAATCAGATATACAGATGAAGGAATCTAGAACTAATGATTTTAGATGGTTCTCTGTCCAGCTGGTGTTTTATTTCAGGTTAAGGTGCCCATTGATTTAGAGTTCTTGAAACAATGTTGCTTAGATATTAAAATTCTAATGAAATATAGCACTTTTTCACAGCTCACCAACACTTTGCAGCATGTTTCCGACTTACAACCAGGATGTCAAATTGGTGGCCCGCATAGATCAAGCCCACCTCAGCTCCACAAATGAGAAAAAGTCGTAAAATGTCACATGACAGCAATGTGGCGCCGTGAGTTTGACACCCGTGATTTGCAATGTGCTTTCTTTTTCTTAAAAAGAAACATTGTTTTACAAAACTCAATATAGGAAGGTATTATAGATTCATATTAGCCAGTGGAAGCTTAACTCATCATTTCAGAGCATCAGTTTTGACAATAACTTTCCTAAACAAAGACCCATCAGTTGAGTAAAGAAATGTATTCCCCCCCCCCCCCAACACACACACACAAATTCAAGCTTAGAGAGCAACAAGGATACTAAAGATTAACTCGCTGCAATAGTCTGCCCTTAAATCAGGGATGTCGAATTGGATTTCTTCAAGGGCCGGATCAGCTTTGCAGCTTACCTCCACGGGCCGGCCAGCTTGGGAGAGGAAGTGGAGGAGATACGGGATGGTCTCCTGAAGCAATTGTTTTGGCCAGCAGAGTGCTGCAGGAGGCTGTCCAGGCCGAAAATGTGTCGTCCTCCCTTGCATCCCATTTTGGCTGTCAGACGCACGGCAGGTGGGACCTTTGCTATTTTCAGACCAGATTTAAGTGCCCCACGGGCCAGATCCGCCCTGCGGGTCTTGAGTTTGACACCCCTGACTTAGATAATACAGCATTTTGCATCTATTGCAGCAAACCAACAGCCATAACCAGAATTTGATGCTGTGCAAGACACAGCCTGCAATGTTAGCATCAAACATTTGATGCTAAGCAGAAGCTACTAGAGTCCTCATCTTACAATGATTACAATAGCACTAGAGAAAAGGACTTGAAATTAGTCCTTGCCCTTACAACCACTGCAAGATCCCCAAAGCCATATGATCATAATTGAGGAACTTGGCAACTAACATGTATTTATGGCAGCTGCTATTTCCTGGGTTATGTGGCTGCCAGCCGGCTTCCAACGAAAAGTAATTTGGGGAATCTTGACTCGCTTAATGACTGCATGGTTGATTTAACAACTGCAGTGAATCACTTAACAACCATGGCAAAAAGGTCATAAAATCAAGTGCAACTCAATTAACAATTGCCTTACTTAGCAATGGAAGTGGCCAATTGTGGCCATAAATTGAGGACTAGCTGTACATGCAATCTAAAGCCTAAATGCATTAAGCAAATGAAAATTTGCAGTTATTTTACATGAAGCAATTTTCTTCAAGGAGAGATGATAATGGCTAAACAAAAGATACTTTTGGCTAAACAAAAGATACCTCCCTTAGACCGATCAGATCTCACAGGTTAGGTCTCCTCCGGATTCCATCTGCCAGCCAATGTCGGCTGGCGACTCCCCAGGGGAGAGCCCTCTCTGTTGCAGCTCCAGCCCTCTGGAATGACCTCCCCGTGGAGATCCGGACCCTTACTACCCTCCCGGCCTTCCGCAAAGCCACCAAGTCCTGGCTGCTCCAGCAGGCCGAGGGGCTTGTGAAATATCTAGCCCCACGGTAACTGTGAATGTTGCGTATTTTAAAGAGTTGTTTTGTTTATTTATCCCCTTCCCTTGTTTATTGTAAGCCGCCCGGAGTCCTTCGGGAGTGGGCGGCATACAAGACCAATAAACTCAACTCAACTCAACTTTATTCACTCTCTTACTTTAAAAACGGTACATCGGACATCAGCTGAACTTGCATCAAAAGCAAGATCTTCAATCAAAGTTTTCAGAAATTCAGCAAGCAATGCTGCCGGAATCATCTTCCAATATTTACATGTTATTTTACTAACTGCAAGTACTCCTGTTGAGCGGATTGCGGGTTGAGGATCTTCTAAGAGAGCCTGTAAATACAATTCAAGTAAACAGCAACATTTTATTTTGCATTTAAGCTACTTGGCTCCAGGTCAATAAAAATGCTGGAAACTATCTCAAGATTAACTTGAACTGGTTTCACCTTCTAGAATCTTTCTTTTAGCAGAAGAAACAATAAGCAGGTGGGAAAAAAATTAAGCTTCCTTTTCTGCAGGTCTACAAATCTGATCTGGAAAATTCAGGGATTACTTCTTGAAGTAGATTTAAGGAACTGCTAGAGCAGTGGTGGCGAAACTATGGCCTGCGGGCCACAGGTTGCCTGCAGAATGTGGGCACATGAGCCATTGTCCCAACTCAGCTATGCCATGCATGCATGTGTGCCTCTTGCCGGCCAGCTGGTCTTTGGGTCTCTGCCGCACATGCGCGGGGACGTGCAAGCATGGGCGGGCTGCACCCACACGCACATACACAGGGTGCATGGCACTTGCACGGGGAGCATGGTGTATGTGCAGGGGGTGCACACACATTGCATTCTGGGGATTTGCACATGCACTTTGGGCACTCGATGCGGAAAAGGTTAGCCATCATTGTGCTAGAGGCTACATGGAAAAGAGAAGGAAAGTGCTTATAATTCTGGATGTTTTCCAACATTTTTAGACATATTGTACTAAAGTTTTGTAGCCTACCCTACTTACTGTGCTCTTACTGTGCAATTTTACTGTGCAACTTACTGTGTCTTTAAAATATCTCATAATGTGTACTTTATTTGTTACTAAGATGCTCATTAGAAATTTAGATTTTGAATCAAGTAGTTATAACTACTTCGTGAAGAATGAAATAATATTCAGTATTCGACTGATAGGTTTTGGGTGTTTTAGGTTTTAGTTCCCATGCTAAAAAACATAGCATTATTTATATATATCATCCTACTTTTCCTTTGAAGCATACAGAATAAGAAAATCCAATTGACAATGAGGGGAGGGGAGAAGGGAGGAGAGGAGAGGAGAGGAGAGGAGGATAAGGGACGAGGGGAGGGGAGGAGCTATCCAGATAATGAGATACACAAAAATTAAATAAAACTGATCCAAAGTTGATAGGAAGAATTTAAAAAGTACTTACAAAAAGTTCATTAAATTGCTTCTGGATTTCTTTTTCCATATCATGTTTGTTAAAACTGGGATCCAGAATAGGGAATGCTTCACTAAAAATCAGTGCTGCATTTGAACGAATCTCAGGATTCCTGGCCTGATAAAATAAATGTACAACAGCAGAATTTTGAATTAAATTTAGTCTAAGCTTTTGAAAATTATCCGGACGAAAGCAGGACAGTTAGAGAGAAATAAATTACCTTCAAAGATCTCCAAAGAATAGGTTGATAAAGTCTATAAAGAACTTCTTCAACTCCTTGGCGAGATTTATTTCGTGTGTGGAAATAGTTTAGCATCTAATGAACAGAAAATAAATTAAAATGATTTAAGAGATTAGCTCCAGTCAATTTTATTCAGCTTCTTGCAAAATATGACTGTGCAATGTTCTGCAGCAAAAGAGATCTCTAACATGTGCAGTGGAATCTTGGATCACGAACAGTTTGGACCATGACCAAATCGGGTGCCGACCAAAAATCCGCTAAATGTTTCATTCTGTTAACGAACACTTCCTCGGGTGGCGATCAATCACAGCTGCAGTGGTGGAGCCAACGTTGCAACGATACAGATGTGCAGTCTCGATGGTACGAGACCGCCGCTGATTCTTTTATTGCTACATGTTCCCAACGGACCTAAGCCGTCCCGTAGAGACGGTGACAGGGAAACAAAGCCTTGCTGGTATCAGGGACATCGCAAAGTGCCTGTTTGACCCAAGGGAAGCTCTCCAAGTTAGCGATAAACAGCCTCGTGCTGACGAAGTCGGAGACGGCTCCGGAAAGAAGGCAGTGAAAGTGAGTCTATCTGGTGAGATTTTTTCTTTGAGAATGATTGCCCAAAGGAATTCTTTTGTTTAAAGATAAATTAGTCCCTTAAGGAAAGAACAAAGCGGCGCAATTTATGTTTAATGGGAATTGTATAGAGGTTCCCTTTTTAACAACTCTCTCCCAAATTTTCACCAAGTAAGAAACTGTTGTTGAATATCCCCATTTTAAAGTTGCTTCTATCTAAAATGACTGTTTAAGTTATAGAGATTTGAATAGGACTGCCCCCCCCACTTTTATGGTTGACGGATTTCATGCCCTTGTTCTTATTGATACTTTTTGTTCTGGAAATGGGAATTAATAACATTGAACTAATCATACTCTCCAATTTGACTCCTTTTCTGCTCCTAGTGGGAACAATATAATATAGACATTCATTTTTTTAAAAGCAATGAGGAAGAAGCTGTTATTGAATTCCCCCAGTAAGGAATCACTGCCCCTTCAAATATACT